TTAAGTGCTGCATAATTATCATACTCTGAGCAGACTGCACAGAATGAAATGGAAATGTAAAAAAAAAAAACATATTTATTTATTTATTCTGTTTTAAGTTTATGTTATGAACCAGAGAGCATGTGCTCTTCAGCGTTGCTCACCGGTGTGCTGAGATAGCCATCCTTTGCGGTGCGCGATTTGATGAGGATGATGCGCTTGCTCGTAGGTCAGCGGTTTGTCTCCTTTGCCAATTCGGATCCGAGCCGCTCGGTTCTGAGAAGAACGAAAAAGCAAGACATGAAACACAAAAGTTCACAAAGTAAGCCAACACAAACCATTCAGTGAGTTTGGGGGCCGTTTCTAGAGCCAATTGTTTGATTTAGACATAAACAGAATATAAAGCGAAGGAATTTCTTCAACAGGGGAAAGAAACGTAATGCATGACTGTGTTTACCTTGCAGCAGACCGCCGTCACATGGAGGCTTCTGCTTTCCAAGGATTTGAACAGAACACTGGAGCGGGCCAGCGCAGCCTGGAGAGAGGGAAGACAGTTGTCATAGAAACGCTTGCAAGGTTTTTATGACCCAAACTCAGAGATAAGGAGAAAAATGTCAATATTATCTAAAGTCTGGCTTCTTTTTCCTCAGGGATAAAAAAAAAAAATAAATTTACTGATTAAATGAAAGGAACTTTATAGACATTTTAAGTTTCCAAAAAAGTTAAAAACAAGTGAAAACAGGGCTTGGTTTTTGGGCCACTCTACAAAGCCTAGAACTCAACGCTATTTTGAGTTGAAAAAGCTTCCTGGATGGGAGGCAGTGGTGGTTCTAGACCAAATGTTCCGGGGGGGGGCACCATGTTTTCATAGGGGCACAGAAAAGCATGAAGCAAAAAAATAAAAAATAAAAAATCAGGAAAGGGATTGAAATACATTAAGAAATCTGCATGAGGTGAAATTTCCACCTCAATAAGGTTTAATTTAAATGATATGTCTTTCAACTGAAAATGTTTAATTTTGGCTTGAAAATATTAATTTGGATTATCTTTAAAATCAAAATAAAAATCCCTTAGTATAGCAAAACAGCAACTCAAAAAATTGTAGCTATATAAATATCTAAAAGATCAAATAAAGCTATTATTTGGAATATTGGGTCAATATAAATTCACAATTTAGGAATTTTACATATTTTTAAATTAATTTAAGTTAAAATTACAGTTTTCTATAAAATCAAAACTCAAGAAAAACTGATCAATTCAGCTGTAAAAATTTTATTATTTTTTTTTTTTTACTGGGATCCTATCTCAACACCCCTGAAGCTATCACCTTATTATTTTTAAATAATTAATAAAACAGAATTTTTTTTAAAGAAAAGGGTGGGAGGTGGTCTTGAAAATTGGAAACAAAGTCCAGTGGATTGTTTTGAACTTTTTTGGATATTTTTACCCAACCTTTGTTGTTTTAATGTTAAATTTATCTGCTGAGACTTCGAGGTCAAAGTAATGCAAAGTAAAAAGTATATATTGTAACTGGAGGCAGTGTAAGCTGCTCTCTTATACATAAATGATACACTATAAGGAATAGTTTTATATAAAAATAGACTCATAATTTATTTAACCTGAATTTATTTTCCTATTTCTATTAATTACGTTGAGACTTTAAAACAAAAGCAACTTGAGCCCAGCTTTGTATTATAGTCTGATTACATCCTGTACCTTAAAATAGTAAAACTCACTACTTAAGCAGCCTTTTTGTCAAATATACACTTTTTAAGGAGACTATTTATTTTGTCTTTTACTCCAATATAAATCTGTTGAAGTAGCGCTATTTTTACTTGAATATATTTTCTGTTGCCCTACCCACCATCACTAGAGAGGAGTAATCATCAGTGATCGGCCTGTGCTGACTCTAAACAGGAGATATTTTCTGATGATCATCAAAATGTCTCTGTGTGATCAGTGGATCCAAACCCAGATTTATTATTTAGGCTTAAAACCTTTTTAAAAAGCAAAACATCTGCAGAACTTTAGGGATTTATGCATTTAACAGGAAGGATGGACACTAAACATACCTCATATATCAGCCGTAATGAAATATAAATGGCAGGTAACAGTACGGCTATTCGAATATTATGATTGTTTTCTATTTTTAAGTGAGGAATAGCTAAAATAAATAAATAAATAAATAAAGTTTCAGGAAGCAAAAGCAGTGAAAGTAGAAAAATAAGAAATCCAGATTTTTGTTAACTCAAGTTTTGGCTTTTACTGTACAGTATAAAACAAACTAAGAACTGTTTTATTTTGAAAATGCTGTTAAAATAAAAAGTGTATTTTTATTTTAACAGCACGATTTTTTTCCATCTAGAGCAAGAACAAATCTATTTAGCAGATATTTCCTCATAATGAATAACTGAGATAATGAGCAAGTTCTATTGATAGGATGGAATTTAAGTTATTTCTCAGTTTTCTTTTGAATAGTTTACATGTTTGAAACAGAAATAGGTAAAATTGTTTCCTTTTAGCAAGACTGTTATTAAACCAGCAGGTTATTACGTCATTATATTGTTTCTTAGGAAGCCATGTGACCAGATGAGCGCACCTTAACATTACTAACAGATCATTAACACCAAATATTAGGTAGACATTTTCCAAATGTTTGACTTTTCAATCATCTTCTTACCAGAAGCCTCGCGCTCCCAGAGTTGTTCAAGGACGCCGCCATGTTTCTGTAACGTTCAAATGTAACCGGAGCTACAGTTAAATAGAAATAAAGAATGCCATTATTTCCCCTCCAGAACTGTTAAAATTAAAATACAAAATAAAATGTTTTTTTCAGTCCCGGGGATGATTACAGCTTGCAAGTAAAAAAGTTATTTCATCCCGAAACTCGTAGCTCAAACTTAGACTTGGAACGTTAACTGATTTGGGGTTCCCACCGGACGGGAAATAACACGTACCAACAGGAAGTGCAATAAATAAATAAATGGTTTTTAAAAACTAGCCTTTTAAGTACATTTAAAAGTAAATAAATAAATAAAAACACGTATATTGCAAGAAATAATAATACAATAACATTTCCTCCATTAAAAACAACTTTTTTTTGCATTCAACTGTTAGTGAAGAACACCAAGCTTTTATTTTGAAACTTAAAAGCCGGAAGTATTCGTATTGTTCTGGAACGAGCAAAACATTTCTAAAGAAGCTGAACTCGTCCCACTTCTCCTCAAACTTGTGTGTCCGGACGGTGTTGTGTTGTCGCTCTGAGGTCTCCTCCGGTTTGTTGGCAGGTGGAACCGTTGAGCGGAGGGATGGCGTCGCGGCTGGAGATGACAGAAATGTATGACAACGCTCTGCTGGGGATCCTGCAGCACGTTGGAAACATCCAGGACTTCCTGCAGGTCTACTTCGGATTTCTATACCGAAAAACGGACTTTTATCGGCTGCTGTCTGGTCCCAACGACAGGATGGGCTTCCCTCCAGGAGTGGCGGAGAAGATGGTGCTGAAGGTGAAGAAGTTAAATAACTGCCTTTAAATTTGTATAAATGAGCAAGAAAATCAAGAAGGACACATAACATTAAAATTAATAAAACATTTTTATATTGAAAAGTTTATTTATGGACTTTTTAGGCCGTTTGAAAATACTTACAGTTATTGTTGCACTGATACCGATACCAGTATCGTTCAGGGCCCTGATGCAGCACTAAAATGGTGATATTGGTATCGGTATCGGCGAATACCAACTAATAGAGCACCGATACCATTTTCAGAGCCAAAAGAGCCATGATGGCAATTATTTTACATCCAAGTAGTTTGCAGTTCTTCATATAGACACACACACACATCCATTTCAAACAGATGTTATCGGTATCTGTCTGATCGGTCAGTTAACTGAGTTAGCTACAAAGTCCACTATCTAGTCCCCGCTCTATGCAGTGATTGAGGGAAGGATTTAGGTGACGTTCAGACACAGTAAGCTTGTATCAGATATGAAAACAGCAACTTTTAAGCAAAGCTCTCGCATGTGCATTTTTTTTTTAAGTGTAGAGGGCGGGTCTTTTAAAAGATTTGAGAAAATCCTCCTCAATACCTTTAAGTGTTTATAAAATAGTTAGAAAAAGCAACCTTTGCTTTCTGCCCTCCGTGTTCTCTGGACGGCATCTTATTTATTTTTCTAAGAAGGTTCTGGTCCATCTGGTCAATATTGAGGTTCCATATGTCGTGATGATCATCGCCCTCTTGTGGTCTGGAGTAGGGATGCACGATATAATCGGCCCCCTATCGGTATCGG